TGCCCAACAGTACCGTGGCATGGATCGTATTTTATTCCTCCTGCAGTGTTACTGTTGCCCCAGCTCTGGGTGAAGGCAGAAAGGAAGAGTAGGCACACCCTAGGAGGGCAGGCCCAGGGAAGGGACTTAGGCTGCATTGTGATCCCTGGAGCTGGAAATAGCAGCACTTTTGGCTCCTTAAAAACAGCATCCACTGGAGTGTGAACACATTTTTTGCAGGATTACAGCAGTTGATGTCTGTATATATGGGTTACTTACAAGTAGAATACTGCCCCAGGAAAAACAGCGGAAGTGATACAATACGCATAGGCTGCTGAAGTAGTTTACAGCCTATTTTCTGAATGATTTACCTGTGTGTGTATATATGTAATATATATACGTGTGTGTGTGTGTGTGTATATATATAGATTTTAAAGATTTTATTTATTAGAGTGTGCACGTGAGCACACGAGTGGGGGGTGGAGAGGGAGAAGCAGACTCGACTCCCTGCTGAGCAGGGATCTCAGGCAACCCTGAGATCATGAAGGCAGATGCTTGACCGAATGAGCCACCCAGGCGCCCCACCTGTATATATATATATTTAAAGATTTCTTTATTTGAGAGAGTGAGCACATGGTGGGAGGAGCAGAGGGAGAGGGAGACCAGCAGACTCCCCACTGAGCGGGCAGCCCAATGTAGGGGCTCCACCCCGGGACCCCGAGATCATGACCTGAGCCCAAATCAAGAATCTGATGACGCTTAACCAACTGAGCCATCCAGGCACCCCTACCTGTATGTTTAAACCATTAAGTGACTAAAAATTAAACCTGGGGAATCAGATGATTTGTCTAGTTAAGAAGAAAAGAATGGGAATTTTATATTTTTTCCTAAGAAACAACAAAACAGTGTATTGGGAAGTATTACATGAGAAGGGAAGTAATTCCCATAGAAACAGCAGGGGGCAAGATTTTGGAATGCAAATGGGTGCCCTGCATACTTTTCTCATCTGTGCTTTTCTAGAGCACTTTTTCTTCTTCCCAAAGGATTTTCTGTAAGTACTGATTGTTGCTTCTACCCTTAATCCTATTTTTGATGCTAAATGCTGTGATTGGGAAGTCAGCAAATTGCCTGAAGCTTTTTTTCTTTTTCCTTTTTTTTTTTTTTAAGATTTTATTTATTTATTTGATAGAGACATAGTGAGAGAGGGAACACAAGCAGGGGGAGTAGGAGAGAAGAAGCAGGCTTCCCCGCGGAGCAGGGAGCCAGATGTGGGGCTTGATCCCAGGACCCTGGGATCACGACCTGAGCCGAAGGCAGACGCTTAACGACTGAGCCACCCAGGCGCCCCTTCTTTTTCCTTTTTTAAAAACTTGAATGCTTATACAGAATGATGTTCATATCTTAAAACAAGTATGATATTTACCAATTTAGTCTTCTCCCTTTTTACTTGCTAGAAAGTACACAGATGATAAATGAGCTTTAATGTTCTTATAATTCAACTGGCATTCAGAATTTAAGCATTTTGAATCAGTAGACATTGCTGAAATGCCCGTTAGCTATGGAATTCTGACTCTAGAGGATTAAGATTTTTTGACAGGAATTATGAATTTGTTTCAAACAAATAAGATCCTAAGCTACATGAATAGCAGAGGTTCTAGGAAACACAACTGTTACTTCATAGAGGCTCATTGAGTATTTCTTATGGTATCTCTCTAATTTATGTTGGAGTTTGCCACTAAAGAGAATATAAAGCTTTCTACGAAGTATACCTATTAATAGATTTGCAGTACTCAAGTAATTAAGTAGGTAAATTTGGGATCCAACAAGATATGTTTCTCTTGTGGTTCTTCATATTGTACTCCTGGTATTCCTGGTTACACGTACCCAAGTTGTACAGAAATGATAAGTCAATGTGCCAAGCATAGTCTGTGACTCATACTGACTGCTCATTATTTGTTTATTGTTTCTCGTTTTAAAAAACCTTTTAAAAATATATATTAGAGAATCCTTTTGGAATAAGATGTTAAATGAATTACCAAACAAAGGATCATTGGGTAGGAAATATTATAAATGACTATTAAAAATAAATTTACTAGAATTTACAAAGCTTCTGATTATATCTATTCTGTAATATGATTTGAGAAGTGTAACTTCACTATCATACAGGTATATGACCTGCTGTAGTTCAAGTTCTTTGTCTAATCTCAACATTCAAAACTATTACTCTGAAGTAGTTTGGTCCATAACACCGCCTTTCTCATTTTTTGGTCACTAAACAGTTTTGCAAGAAATATATGGCCTCTTCAGGTTGTTTCTTGATCTGTAAGATGGGGAAATTGGATCAGAGTGATGTCTTCAGGTCTTTCAGTTTAGAGTGTAAATTAAATTACTGTTTTTGTTGCATACTTCCCTGTCAGTATGGGATCAACTTACCATTGCAGGAGTACTAAAAGGCCTTCTGAGATATATGTAAATACAAGCTAACATGAGTCCTTCTCCACATACTTCTACAGTATACTTACTCTCATTTTGAAAATAACTTATTCTTCCCTTTCTGCCTGATTTTGTTTTGTTTTAATCAACCTCAGGAAAAGAGCCCACGAATGATGGTTCCTCTTCATTCCTCTTTTAGTTCCTTGTTTGCTGTAGTGAACAGCATTCCTCAGAAAGTTCTGTCAACACTAATAACACAAGTGACTTTGCCCATTTTTATGTATTGTCTTTGGGCATAATATGGTCTAAAGCATTCTTAAGTTCCTGACAATTAAACTTTAGGTGAACTTATGAATAGCGTAGAATATGTATTCTTCTGAAATTATAGAACCACAGTGGTTTGAAATCTGTGTTCATTGTTGTCTAATGTTAATAGTAGAATAATTGATAAAGAAATTGGTATTTTTTAACTTAAATTGAAATGAAGTAGCATCAGCAGTTTTCTCCTCCCCCTAAAAAAATAGTATATTTAAGTAAGTTAACAACTGAGTTATTTTTAATTAAAGCTTATGGTTTGTTTAGATGTAATAAAGTTGATCTTTATAAAAATACATCAGTTTGTTGCTGTAAATACATATTTATGTATGTGTTGTGAACATATGCATGATTATGTTTTAAAACAGATATGACCACATTCTGAAGTGGGAACTCTTCCAGCTGGCTGACCTGGATACATACCAGGGAATGCTAAAGTTGCTTTTCATGAAAGAACTGGAACAGATTGTTAAAATGTATGAAGCCTACAGACAGGCTCTTCTCACAGAGTTGGAAAACCGCAAGCAGAGACAGCAGTGGTATGCTCAGCAACATGGCAAGAATTTTTAAGTTAATTTTTTAAAAATAAAATTTAAGTTTTGTAAGGGCTTTAAAGTATTTTCACAGATTAAAAAAACTGCAAACAAGTACTTTGGTTAATAAAGGCAGCTTTTTGGAAATTAAAAATTCTAATTTTACATGTATTTTGTTATTAAAAATATTTTGAGAAAAAAATGATTATTATTTTAAGAGCCGACACAGCAAACACTTCTAAATGCTATATATTAGAAACTGCTTTGAATATTCTCAGTGAAGACAAATGCAGCAAGAAATGTCTCATTATAACCAGATATTAAATAGGAATGATCACTTGGTAAACTTGGACAGTAGCAATATCTTTCTTTAAAAAACAGAACCTATGCAGTATTTAAAAAAAAAGATGTGTACTGCTTTAATATGGAATATTATCTGGAATCAGTTAGTTTAAATATTACCATTGTGCAGTTCAAAACACAGAATGGGATTTGGGACCTTAATTGTGATAAATGTATATATATATAATATATAGGGTTCCCTCCCAAAACGTAAAGAACCCTTTTGAAACATGTTGAGAACATATTTTTTGGTATGAAAGGGTAAAGGGCCTGTAATTTTTTAGGAATAAATGTAGGCATAAGGTCTTAGCCTGTATGGGAAAGGTGTATACAGCACTCAAAAGTTGCTATCATTTCCTTACTTTTGACCAGGGCTCTTAAAGCATTTAGTACCATGGCTCTGAGACAGTGGTGGGTCCCCGACAGTATGTAGCACACTGCCATCCCCACAGACTGGGTTGAGCTGCCAAAAATGACAATCAGGGATTCATTAAGAAATCTTGGTCATTAAATTGATTTTACATATTTTTTATCTTCTAAGGATTTGTCATAGAACTTTAAAACCTACCATTTCCCTCCCAGTTTTTTTCCTTTTAATAGTTAAGACATTGTTCATAATTAGTGCAGTACATTTGATTACAGAAAAATTTATGGCATTTTTAGCCTATAAATCTCTAGAATTCTGTGAATTTCAATATTAATTGAAGTAGCTCTTCAGTTACATTTACATGTGTTGTAAATATGTAAATATATTTTTAGTTTAGGTAATCTTCCAAAATACAAAGCACTCCCAGTTAGTTATCCGTGAGTTTGAATTGATAAAATGTTGAAAATGTTAAATGTTTGATTTTATATAACAAGCTTATTAAATATATTTTTGTGGAAACTAAATGTGTCATGTTTGAATCCATGTTTTTTACATAGTGTTATAAATATTTGATTTTTCCATTCAGAAGGTCCAAAAAGCAAAGGAAGCAGTATATAATGAAAGGGATATTGAAAAAATGAAAATAAGCTGGTAGAATTTTATCAATTGGCAAAGTTATTTTTCAGAACATGTAATCAAACTTTTCTAAGATGTAGGCTTATATGTCTTAGGAACTCTCATATAGTCTTCTATCTTAATCATTCTTTCCTGTTACTCATTATTTTGTATTACTGTTTAATTTAAACATGGCTAAGCCATTTCTAAGGAAGTTAGAAATTACTATTTTAGAGCTCCCAGATTATAGAATCACTGATTTAAAAGAACTGAAAGGTACCTAAAAAAGGGATTAGCATACATTTCTTAAAGTGGAAACTCAGATTTGTAATGGTTGTCAGCACTGAAGAAAATGCATTTTTAATTTTAAAAAGAGAGATAAACCTTTATCATTCTGTATCAGTACCTCCCAAACATTTCCAAATTCAGTATTTGTTTTTAATATTAGGAACCAGAGTAAACTTTAATAATAGGTCACATGTTAAAAGAATAAACCTATGAAGAATACATTTCTTTGTGTACCAAATGAAAAAATATACAATGCAGTGAAACTCAAGTACATATACAAAGTGATTTTTTGTGCATTTTTGATCAAGAAGTTTATATTCTATATTAAATCATAATATAAAAGAAGCAGTATTTAGTTTTTGATAAAGCAACTGAAAAGCTCTCAAGTGTCTTTAAAAATAAAAGCTCATGGTATATATAAGATGATACAGATTGAATCAAGCCTGTTGAGTTGTTATGCTATGCTTAAATGGATGACTATGTGAAATAATTTAAAAATTCTGTAGAAATTAAATGAGCATATCCAAACAAGGAGTAATATTACTACATGGTTTAATTATAACCCAGTAGTAGAATTTAGTAAATTCAAGCAGAACATGTGTACTGTCATCCTAAATAGACAAACACTTTAAATTATAACAGCATATCTGAAGACAAAACTAAGAAACTGTACATGTTAACAAAAATGATATAACCATGCATACATACATCTGCTTATTAAACACTGAAGTAAAAGAACTAAACCATTTTGAAATTTTCAGAGGAGCTTGGTATTTTACTCTGTCCTCATAGAAGCACTTTGAATGTTTGCATGGAGACATAAAACTGAATATTTAACTGACAATTGGTCATGCACCTGTACTTCTAAAAATTTGGATTAAATTTTCTTCTTTTCTGATTGTTCAGTAGATTCTGACTTTGGCGCAGGAAAAGCTTGATGATACAGATGTCTGTGGGTTGCTGCTGCACTGTAAAGCTTGTATAAAGCCTAGAAAGACAAGAATCAAGATTATAATCACAGATGTAAAATTTTTCCTTTTTAGTGTAATTAGTTTATGTACTATATAATTAGCATGCTAAATGTGGAATCTTTGTCATTAGTCTAAGATATAAATTAATAACTAATAATCTTAGAACTCAAAAATACTTTAGCTTGTCCACTGTATGTTTTTGCTTTTGTGGACTGATCTTTGTGGTGGTAAATGGTTTATTCTCAGACTGCATTTCCTTGGACTTTGCACACCTTTTGGAGCAGGGCTTCCTAAACACTGTGCCCCAGGGGTGTGCTGAGAACTCATATCGTGAATATTACCAGTTTTGGAGGAATTATAGGATCTCATAACTTCTGACTGCCAATAGCTGTTTTATTATACACAGCTAGGCCACTTGCTGTCCGGGCTTCCTTACAGGTTTTTCAGAATGGAACCATTTTTTTTCCCCATTATTTCTGGATGTGGTCATGCCAGTAAGTACATATGTTGCCCCTCCCCTTGCCACACTGGGATCCTTCATTTAAACATTCTCTTCCCTCCCTTGTTTCCATTATTTGATTTATATCTTATGAAACATTTTTCAGAAGCATTACCTCAGAAAGCTTTTTCTCATAAAGCTCTGGTTGTTCTTTGTGTCTACAGTGTTTTTGAATCATAGGAATTTTTACATACTGCTTTACATAAGTGTCCATGAATATTTTTGTCCTTTTTCCCCCTCAGTAAATGTCTAAGGTTCATTCCCTCTTCTGATTTTCATATATTGAACCCTCAGTTAAAACCAACTTTTCTGATGTAATTCTGGAGTCTGTGAAGAGTCTGAATATTTTTAAAAGCTTAATATCCTTTAAATAGTAACCAATGCCCAGGAAATTCCATTAATTTTTATCTTTTTGAAGTCTCGATAGCTGTTTTCTTAAGTCTAAATAATGCCATCATCAGTTCTGTGAATGCACATTGGTGTAAATTGGTATTGTCCTAGATCTATCATAATCCTAACGTTCAACTTAGATTTTTACTTTTTTAATGAATTTGTTTTACTGAATTTTACATAAAATACTTCTCTATTGCTTGTATTAAATGTATCATTGGTATTGATTAGACTAGGACATACTCCAGTTATATGTAACAGCAGAAACTGAGGAAAGAATTATGTGCTATCTCAGTGGTTGTTCCAGATCAGTTTTGCTTCCTGAAGATAATGACCAGAATAACTCTACAGAGATAATTTTTCTTATGTAACAAAGGATTCTTTCCTGCAAGCCCTGGTTCTTACCTCAGAGTTTTGCCCATGTGCAATAGGAGAAATGAACACCAATTTACAGGTCGGTCTGAGGAATGCTAAGAAAGTTACACTTTATACTGGCCTGGAACCTGCTCAGAGTGGTAAAGGTAACTGTCACTCAAAAGCCCGCGTTAAAAACATCTAAAGGTTGTAGCTCCATTTCAATACTCTCTAGTTGTTAGGTTTCCTCAAGATGCATAACTTTTTATTTCACTATGCAGTAGAGCAAAATGCACAATGTTGGAACTTAAGAATTTTGGAATTTTTTACACATTCAGGAAATAAAACAGGATATTCTTGATAATCAACTCTTATGTTTCATATGCAGATCAAATCACATAAAATGTCTGGAATAAATACAGTATTTTAAAACCATGTTAAAAAATCACAGTTAAAATTGTGAATCTTAGAAGAACACAGGAGCAGGTGTCACCAAAGATTTTTTTAAATTTAAATTCAATTGACATACAGTGTATTCGTAGTTTCAGAGGTAGAGTTTAGTGATTCATCCGTTGTATATAACACCCAGTGCTCAGTCCATCACCAAAGACTTTAATCCATGAATGCCTAGTTGGTTTATAAAATACCATAATTTTTATAAATATATAGCTCTCAATTAAAAATTTTAACTTACCTCATTTGTACTTCCCTGTGGCAAAGGCAGTTTAAAAGGGAAAAAAGAAAAGTATATATCCTGCTTCATTAATAGCATTATGATAATTCAACTTCGTTTGTAGTATTTCTGAGCATTTAAGAACAAATACTCCTACAGGTTTTTTCAGTTCAGATTACACGTTTTATCTGAATCTTTCGAAGAACCCAATTGTATATTCCTCAGAGGCTTCAGCATCATATTCTAGGAAGGCTTTGGGATTTACCTCAAATAGCCCCTCTTTAGTCTTCTAAGGTTGAGGAGGTGTTTGAGACAGCGGCCCAGAGGATTCAGTTTTTAATTCATTCTTTACCCACAGTACTACCATTAGTTTATCTTAACTAGATTCTTTAAAGGCACATGGTAAATTCATTAGTTAAAATTCCATTTTAAAGAGTATATGTAAGTATAAATGCTGGGAGAATTGTAGCTATTACATGCTACCTGCAGAACATAAGTTCAAAAGTCTTAACTCCAAAAGTTTATGAAGAATCTCAATTTTAGCCTCACTAAATGCCCCTAAATTTTCATAAGGTAACTGAAGACACTTCCAGAATGACAGAGTGAGTTCATGATCGTTCTAGGTGTGTTTATAATTGTCTTCCCTACCCACCCATCATCAATTATTTGAACAGTGGACCACAGTGACCCTGACTCTAGGCTATGGTTAATTGAAACATAAAGGACAACTGACCCATGAGCAGCTGATCCAGAGGCTGACCTGGACTCATGCTGTGGCCCGGTACAAATGCCTAGTTCAGATAGAGACAATCTGAAGTAATCAGATCTTTCTTTTGCTTTTTAGGAGTTTATACTAAAAGAGATAGTGATACAACAACTTACGATAGTGGTTCACATACACAGCCAACGCGAATCAAATGTTAGGTTGTAAGTACGAAATAATCTTCACACATAAACAAGTCACAATCCGCTCAATAAAAACTCAGCTGTGCTTTCTCACACTTCTTTTTAACAGCTTTAACTTTTAGGATAAATAAAAGTAAAAAAACAAAACTGCCTAATCCACGGATATTTGAAGACACTGAAATGTTAACTGGAAACCAGTTACGTAGGACTTCACATATTGTATTACAGTTAGTTGTTTGTGTCTGGCCATCTTGACAGATTCTAAAGCTCTTGAAGACTAGGGCCCGAGTCAGGTTCACCTGTTTAGTTCTAACTCCTAACATTGTGTCTGATACATAGTGTGCTACAATTAGCTGAAGAGGATTAAAAGTATTCTTACCTGGTCCCACAAGGCTGCAGCCACCTGGTCTATTACAGCTCCCAGCTCTCGGTATTCCCCAGAGTAGCGGATGTATGCCCAGGTGCACAAGGTGATAAGAGTCAGTCCCATTATCATATTGCATAGGCTAGCTATAATGTCCAAACCAATGAATCCAGTCACACCAGCAATCACGTAAGTGATAAAGATGACAACAAACAGTGTGGCTGGGGTACGAGCTGCATGGAAGATATTTTTGCTATCATTGTGCTTGATATACTGGATGTAAAGTTCATCTATTTCACTCTCCAACTGTTGCAGGTAACGCCGGCTAAATTCCTCCCCACCCATCTTCTTCACCCCTCGGAATAGCTTCACAGATTCTTCCTTAAGCGCCAGATGTTTGGCCTGTAGGTCATTAGGTGCCAGAAATGGTTTGTCACCACCACAAATCTGTGTCAATAGAGAAGTGCTGTTTATGCAATGCAGAGTAAAATTAGCAACTGTATCACAATCTTCCACTTAGCTAGCTGAATTTGTTAGAACACAATAATCAAAAGGAATTTACATACATGTTTTGTCAGTCCACATCTTTGCGCACTCCATATCACGCATGAGTGTAAGTGGGACCAGTATTTTATAGATGACTTATGTAAAGCCATTCTTAATTTTTTTTTTTTTGACGTGGGAAAGAATATCCAAGACTTAATCCAAGTTCCTCAAGATGAAAAGGCATGATTCACAGAATGAACCCCAAATCAAATAAACTACTTGTATATATACAAGTTCCTCTGGGAAATTTATTCTAACTCCACTAGAGTCTTTTTGGCCAATGAGATTTAACTTAAAACAATAGCAATGTTATAAAACTTGAAAGTAAAATTAGGAAAAACATGTTCTTTGGCAGTTTCACTGATTTTGTTTGAATGGAGCCCTTTCACAGTATTTCCTTCAATAGACTAAATGGGAGAATATTCAATGTTCTTGGACTACATTTTCAGTTTTTTCAAAAGTTACAAGGGAAATCTCAGTTACCCATACCTTTCACTTTTGTTATTTGATATTTAACTATATAAAGCATACTCTCATTCTAGTTACCCTTTACTTATGTTGTGAACCATTCCTTATACTGTATTTCCCTTGACTCTTGAAATTCCATCAATTTTGGATATAATTTATATAACATGATTTTCAGGGGGAAAACCTATCATATTAGTAGATATGTACAATAATTATTAGATTAGCATCCTAATCCAGAACGTTAAAAAGAGGAAATGCAGTATATAGAAATACTGGCCCTTGAAGTTTAATTTCTTTTTTTCCCTAATGGGTTTTTTGGTTTTGTTTTCTGTTTTTCAGAGAGAGTGTGTGTGCTGCGGAGGGCCAAAGGGAGAAAGAGAGAGAGAATCTTAAGCAGATTCTAAAGCTCTTGACCTGAGCCCAAACCAAGAGTTGGATGCTTAATCAACTGAGCCACCCAGGTGCCCTAACGGGTTTTTATAGTTAAGATAAAAATACTGAAATTGTTGCATGAAGGGAGGTGTAGTGGAGAGGGTAGCACATGTTATTTTAGTCACCAGAGCTTATAAATAGTGGGAAGATGTGGGGAAGGAGGGAGGGAGGGAAGGAAGGAAAAGAAAGAAAAAGAAAGGGAAAAGAAAAAATATATCTCTAATGTAAAGAGAACACATTTATGTTTTAAATTGTGCATACATAGTGTTCCTTTCCTAAAAAATATTTTAGGTATACAATAAACAGAAATGTGATATATAGAGGCTGAGAAAGAATAAGTCAAAGCCACTTCTTTGCATGTGTAGACAGTGTAACTTGGAAGAAAAAAAGAATGAGCTCATGGAAGAAATACTGATTTTATTTAAATATTATTTAATTCTTACCTCTTCCATCTTTTTGTTGTATGTATCCTTGGCAGTTGCCACGGCCGCTAAATTGTTAGCCTCTGCTGTGGCCTTTGGACAAAGTACAAAATATGATGTAAAATGGAATTCATATTTATTAAACCTTCACAGGCAATTCTCATTTCTGAGTATCATGTGCAAGAAATGTACAAGAACACAAGGTCATGAAATAATTTGAAAGTATTCAAGTATTTCCACTACATTTTAAAAAATTCATAAAATTAAAATTTCAAAATACATGTAAGTTTATTCGGTAAGCCATAGTTATAAAAATGAATTTCCATTTGGAAGATTTTTTCCTCTTAAAAAAATATTTTTAAGCCTCTCACCAAACGGGGGAAAATCTATAAACCCAAACATATGGGAAATAATACACAGTACATTTTGTATGTACTAATATATATACAAACATGTCTTAAGTTTAAGGACTGATACTGATAGAACAATGTATCACTGGTAACAAAAAGGAACGATTAAGAATTTAATTTTTTTAGATAGGTAAGGAAAAAGCTAATTTCTCCTTTCTTAAAATGTTTAGTTGTAGAGACCACTTGTTTTAAAACCTGGACCTGCTTTTCTACTTGTTACATGTGTGACTCTAAGCCACAGTATGAGTCTGTTTTCTAAACCAATTTTGTACAAAGAGAATGAAAGCTTTGGTATAAAGTGCTTATATGTCAGCACAAGTGAAGCTCCTCTATGTGTACATGAACCTGGTTAGCTGAACACACAAACAGTAGTTAACAGAAAAATAATCTTCCAATAAATCATTCCAATATTTTTATTTGCTGATTTCTGACTGCCAGATCGGAGCATATCTCTAGCTTAGCATAGCATAAAGCTAAGGAAAGCTTAGCTTTAGTGACAAGTATGTTTTAAAACGTCATGCCTCCTGATTAGTAAATACCTGTAACATGAAAAAAAAATACCTGTAACATGGATTTGGGATGTGGTAATTCTTCACCTTGGTAGATCTTTATATAAGCCTTAAAAAAAAGGAAAGAAAAAGAGAGACTCAGGTTCAAGTAATTCCATTCCATATTTCTCCAATTCTGTTAAATTGTTTTCTAAGCTAAGGTCTTGACAGTTTGGGGAACCATTATCTTTCTCATTTTAATTCCCCCTTTCTTAGTTCTGTTCCTTTTTCGTGAAGTGCCCTTTTCACACAACTCCTCTTGCCAACCCTACCCTTCTTTTTTTTTTTAAAGATTTTATTTATTTATTTGAGAGAGAGAGAGAGAAACAGCATGAGAGGGGATAGGGTCAGAGGGAGAAGTAGGCTCCCCGTTGAGCTGGGAGCCCGATGTGGGACTCGATCCCAGGACTCCAGGATCATGACCTGAGCCGAAGGCAGTTGCTTAACCAACTGAGCCACCCAGGCGCCCCAACCGTACCCTTCTTAAAGGCTTAACTCCCTGCCACCTCCTCTAAAACTTTCTCACATCCTTCTGCTAGGAGTAACCTTTCTTTTTCAGTTACTCACGGGCATTTGTACCTGCTGATGTCATAAGCCTTATGGAAGAGATTTCTGTAAGGGTCCTTAATCTCCTGCTAAATGCTAAGCTCTTCCATAGTGTTAGGCACAGTAAGAATTCAAATTTTAGGTAGATAAATAACATCTCATTTATTGCAAAGAGTGATGAAGATAATCCCACAGGAGGTATGTGACAGGATTTTAAATAACAAAAATGTGAATTTTAAAAATTGGTATTTTAGTCCTTGGAGCATCAATCCACAAATGAGATTGGTAACTGAAATTCCCCCACTGTATGTGGTTGGTTTAAAAAAAAAAAAGTGTAGTATTCGGTGCTACCTAAGGTAAACAAGTAAATGCAAATTTAAAATAATTCCACTTCAAATCGGCCCTCGGTGCAGAGACAGAAATTGCGGAAGAATTTTCTCCAATAGGAAGGCAAAGTAGAGCCCCTTTGAGAACATCTTCAGAATGAAGGTAAAATTCTGTATACCTCACGACTGAAGACTACTACATGTTATGGACCTCGAGCAACACCTTCTCCCCCAACAAACAAATAGACTTTACCAACTCTTAGATACATTCATACTTCAAAATATATTTCTCTCAAGATAGTTATCTCTTAAGAGTTTTCTTTAAAATTTTAATTTCAGAAAGCAAGCTCCTCTTGGGAGTCTAATGATTTTTTTATTTTTATAGATTCCTCAAAACTTTGCCCCCATATTATAGAGTCTATAATTTTTTTGTTTGTTTCAAGTAGGAACTGCATTCTAAAACAATGCTCTAGAAATGAGAGTGATACCTTGAAGTACTCCACCAGACCTCGGCAGGTGATTTTGTTCCCATTGATCTCTTTAATATCTAGGCTCTCAGGACTAAGTAGCCAAGGAATGAGTATTTTCAAGTTTTTGATGAATTCATCATCTATTTCTACAAGTAAAACACATTCATCATTATTTTAAAAATCCAATCCAGTCCTCCATGCCATACAATAAAACATCCTTTGATTTCCTCCATTTCTTCCCCAGTGATAAAGCCTTCCCTCACTTTCCCATCATCTAAACAACTCCTGCAGCCGGCCCACTTCTCTCGGGTCGGTGATCCTCCTTGCCTAAACTTCTACTGCTAGTCTTTACTTCATTACATATTTACTTATCCTCCACCCATAAAATAGCTTTCTTGATGTTAAATGTTAAATAAATATTTTATACCCTATTCACATAACCATTTAAGTATTCCGATGTACTTAAGTTTGTTGGTGGTTTTCTAAATGGGGAAAAGGCCAGATATTTACTGGCTTATAGGATATATTCCCTCCAGAAAATGTTATGCTCAAATTGCTGTTTTTAGTGTACCCACCTTATGAAAAGTATATAGAACTGGGTAAGGTGTGATAACTAGAACTCAAGTTCAGAAGGACAGTGCCGGTGATGCCACCTCTGCTGGTGAAACTCACCAGTACAAATTAACATGGCAAGAGGCGGCCATGGAGGCAAATCAGAGGATGCCTGAGTTGTTCACCTATCATGTTTAGGACATTTGATTACACATTCCCATGTTCTAGCATTAGGCTTAAGCTTAACCTTACATATTTAGCAAAGTAACACAGAAAATACATCTTCAGAGAAGTCTTTTGAACAGTGGTAATTTCTGAAATCATTAGTTCAAAAGATACAGAAAAACACAACCTACATAAAAAGCAAGATATGTCCAGAGATTCGATATCTTAAGTAAATGTAGTAACTGCCTATAATTTTTTTCTTTTTTTTCCTTTTTTTTATCATGTTATGTTAATCACCATACATTACAGCATTAGTTAACTGCCTATAATTTTTAAAAAATCTGAATTTCAGCAGAGTCACTGAGTTTTCAGGCTTCGCGACTGGTGATTTCTGAGGTCTTAAGAATAAAGATTCAAATTATGTGATTGTGTTTGCATTTTCCTTGTTTGCTATTACAACCCCACTATACACTGAAATACCAATTTACATAAGAATTCATGTTTCTCTTCTCTTGCTTGCTGCTTTTATGAGATGTACGAGCATAATGTTGGAAACCCTTCAGACTTATTTTACTTCATGTTTTGTACACCTCGGAAATTTTAGTGCCCATCTTTTATGAGTACTTGTAGAGGAGTTTATTTAAATGTATTTGCTGTTTGCATTGTACCAATTTTTACTGAAAATTTTTCTTTGTATTGTATTTTGATTTATTCAAATTTATCTATTCAAATTTCTCATTGTGGTTTGTTTTCTAGTTAGCAATATGCACTAATACTACTGGTGTTTGTATTATGTTACCACATTCCATGTTGTGTTTTGCTGCCTGCTGTGCATCTGTATTCACTGATACTAATAGGTTTCTTTTTTGCTATATGACTTTATGGGTTTTTTTTAGCATTTGTAGAATATTATTATATATCTAGAATGTATGAATTCTTCCTGAATTTCTGTATAAAACAAAAACCTTTCTCATTATAAAACGACTTTAAAATCACTTCCAACACACGTATTTAAATTTCACCTTCCCATTCCCTTATTGGAATGGAACTGGAATGGAATAAGATACACCTGTGTATCTAACGCACCAGCAAGTGTGGTAATTATCATTAACGTAACCAGCATATAACCACATATTTGGATTAAAATGTGTTCTGAAGGTGGCATGAGCCACAGTCTTTGTTCTCACTGAGACTGCCAATTTTGGATTCAGAAAGTACGAACCAAATATTCACAACATACACAGGTGGTGAGCTCTTGCTAACAATATTAGTTCAGCACAGTAAACACATGACCCAGAACATCTGCAGACCAGATCAATTTACAGAGGTGCACTAACTAGCCCTGGCCCACTGCAAGAATTCAAATAAACGTGTGGGTAGATGATGATTCGAGATGATGTTGTGTTTCCATCATTTTTTCAAATAATTTTTGCCACAAGAGTAAAACTTTGCTAGGAATTCAGGGGCTGGGCCAAAGTGGTTAATCTGTCACAATCACTGGGGACATGGTAACATTCTTTATAAGAACTCTGCAGGGCAGATGCACTGGTTTAGCACTGCTGTGTAAAGCAACCAAGAAGATATTTTCTCAGGATTACCTTCATCAGAAACACCTTTTTAAAAATCATCACCTTGCAATGGTGTTTGGCTATGCTTCCTGAAGTCTAACTGAAGCTGCTAAGGAAGTATCTCCACAATTTATGATGTGGTTACTGGTCATTCTACATGTGGTACTGTAACAGAGAGCAACCTCAAAAAGAAGGTAACTCCTTGTTAGTTAAAAGATTCACTAAGCCAAAAGAGGTATTCACTGGGCACTTAGAAAGAACTGGTTGAACCTGATCCTTTTGATTTCCTATGTGGGATGTCATTAAATCAATAGTTGATTTGAATCATAGTATCATAAGTTTCATGTAATATGGAACATGGTAAGACAATTTCAATAATGTGAAGGACCATGAACAATATAGTAATTATAACAATTATTACTATTGGTAGTGAGCTAGAAAGTTATTTCTACAAGTCTGTGAAAGAGTATGTGAGAATTATCATCAAAGAACAATTTTTGCACAACTGTTTATTCAGAGACATTTCTTCCCTAGAGGAAGAAAGTTATTCAGATGCCAACCCTCTGGAAAACAGGACAGCCAGTGGACAAGACATCCTGGATAGAAACCACATCAACTTATAAGATTCAAAATGGGATGGAAAAACAATGTGGACAGCTGACTTTCAAAACTGCCCAAGGAGAAACTGAGACTAAGTAGAACATTTTGGCAAACACAGAGATACAGCAGGAGTCCTATAAAGCCTCATCAAAATGCAACTTTGATGGGCACCTGAAGCTGCTTTTCATTTCTTTTTCTCTCAGGCTAACCACTTTGGTACACTCATAATTTTGGGGTGCCTGTAAAGCAGTTGTGTGGGTTAATATATGTTTAGACATGTGAGTAAAATTTGATGGGAAACAAATCCATTAAAAAATGCAGTTCTATATCTGTGTGATTTGTCTTAAATTCTCTCCCTGAGCTCTTCCACTGCACAATGTGTCAGTTAATTTAAGAACTGTAGCTGTATACTACAAGAACGGAACAGCCAGAGTACTCTTTTGTCCCAATAAAGGACTGTTGTTGAAGGCCTGCCCCTCCCCGGCCTGGTTACGACTCCCCAACTCCAGAGAAGAAAGAGGGGCCTTGTGGGAGCCCTCTCTTTATGTCATTTACTCAAAACACACCGAAGGCATTAGGTAACTACACAGTATCAAGAGGTCTGTGCTCACTGGTGGGCTGGAATTCATAAGTGATAGTGAAATGAAAGAATCCTGCCGTTCATGCATTAATATGTACCTACTGCTATCTGTTCTGTTTATATAAAGATCATTTAAAACATGGAAGAAATAATGCTGATGATTGAGATACTTGGGATTCTATTTATGATACTGTCATAGTTGAATAGAGGGCATCTGAGTATAAATGCCATGGATACAGGGGGAAAAAATAGGTTTGCTTTTCAAAGCTGCCAGTTCCATAAAGGTGGATAGATGTTACGTTGTTCTTTTTTAAGAGGAATGTTAAGGCCCTTTGCGAAGAGCTGTGCTGGAAAGCTTGTTACGGCACCGCCTCACCAACCCTGGCACAATGCAGAATGACCACAGTAAGTTAAATGTCGGAGCTCAGTGGCGCGGGTGTACTCACTGCCAGGCTTATAAGTAAAAAAAGTCAGAAATGTCTTTGTACTACTTTGTATTAATTACAAAGAAAATATCTAAAGACCTGGTGATTATTTATGAGGAAATACTCACTTCTGTTTCTTCAGACCCCTACGTCCACCCCATCCCATCCCTTTTTCTAACAAGTTGGGTTGCTTTGGAATCCTAAAATGTGAGTAATGCCTCTGTTTGACAAGCAAATGCTATTATTATACTATTAGTATACATTATTTCAAAAACACTCTAGTGCTTTTGGGCTTTTCAGAAACTGGTCCTCATTCAGAAGATTTCATTTTTAGTGAAGCTTTTAATAATTTATAATTAAATTCTTCAGTAGCTTTTTTAAAGAGCTTGAGTTCAGAACTATGCAATGTTTCTTTCGATCTCTAGTTATATAACTTATAACAATAATTATATAACTTATAGCATTTGAATAATATAGACATCTATTTTTCTCCTCTAATGTAAGTAAGGAAAATTTAACAGTAAGACATTAAGGAGCATTTCTCAATGCACAGAGGTGAGCAGGAACCTCTGTGAAAAGGGGAGAGTCACTGCCTCCCAGGTGAACACAGGATTTTGCCTATTTTCTCCGTGTATATATTCAGTACCCATAGAATCCTACAGTTCATCAAGGGGTTGTGCTCCAGCACCAGCCCAGGACTCCCAGTTCTCTTGACAATTTTTAATCATCAGCCTCACATAAGGGGATAACCTAAATTAGCAGCTGTAAGCTCAGTAGATAAAATGACAATTTTATAACCAGGATAAGTAATATAAACATATTCATTAAAAGACAAAATAAATAAAATCTTTAAAAAAAGAAAAAAAAGACAAACCTTTCAGTTTTCCATCAAAGTTTGGATTGGTAGCTACTTTTAAGCCAGGATGAGGTAGCAGAAAACAGGAAATTTTGGTGAAACAGGAATGGATGTGTTTTCGAACATTCTGTAGTTCTTCGTGCTGGTTCCCTGAGACCTGCAGCAAATCATTCTAAAGTTTAAACTACTTTCATCATAAACTGAACTCCAAAAGAATTCTGTGACATCTTCTATTTGCTACGTCTGTCTGGTCCCACAATGATAAAAATGACATGATAGGACTGGTACTGAAGAAAAAATAAAGTGTTGGGTGAACGGCCATATCTAAGTATAGCATACATATGGCATTATTTTTAGAATTAACAAATGTTTACTCTTATGCTAACTCAGATGGGCCTTCCCATTTTTTTAGTACAAATTAATGGGGTTTTATTCTAGCTAGTTCTTACAAATTCCACTTTTAATTCAAGTACTCATAGGAAACATGAATAGATCATAAGATATTCCTACCTTCTTTTCAGGAGATACTCGACAGCCTCTTGTCACCTGGTAGGTATACATTTAAATTCTAGAAAGGCATCTGAATAATTGGGTATTTATAAGCTAAATTGTCCCCATTTTTTCAAATGTATTTCACAGTTAGTTAATAGTACAACTACCCTAAAAGTAATTATAAACCTAAAAAGATAAGCTGAGAGATCCTGATTATCAAGAAACCTTATTTAATCTTGATTTAAAAATTTTTCTCAATAGTTATTTGTCGTGATATCTGTCCATTGTAAACAATTCATCCAATATTAAACTATCCTGACATCGAAAATGGAGAATCCTCTCATTTCACTTCTGTGAACTATTAGCAAAATGTTCTAAGACTGACTTTGGGGATTTCAAAATTAGATATTTCTGTTAAATTGACTTTTAAACCTCTACTAAAACATGACTCCAGATTTTTGTACTGTCAGCCTTGAATGGACTTAATTATTCAAATTAACAGATTTATCATTAGGAATAAATCACTGTTTTGTAAATATCTACAAAAGAATTATCTGTATCATAATTATTGATAATATTTAAAACTGTAACTCTGAAAGTATTGTATTAAATACCAATCTTTGTTCATAGAGACACTAGAAGGGTCAAATAAGAATATATCTAATAAGTATCCATTCCGCAAATCATTGCAACAAAAAATTCTATTCACTATTGGTGAAATTTCATGCACCTAAATATCTAACAAACCTTGAGGCGTTTCTCCAAGAATTTGGAGCCACCTTCAGCTCCATATGAAAATTCGTATGGGAAACTCCAATCCCGAACAAGAAATATCAGACTCTAAGAAACAATAAGAAGAAAGGATTGATAAGGGGACTTTAAATGGCCTTCCTGGGCTTTATATTGAAACCAATTAAACACTATTATTATCATTTGAATAGAGTTCTACACCACACTGTAGAATTATAAAAGCAAACATAAAACCTTTGAAAGTTTCTGAGCAATCTCTTCCCTATGAGATCATCCTTCCTGTACCCACTAAGTGAAAAGAGAAAGCTGCCCCAAAACTCATTGTAGTCACACAGAGCCATTAAGCCTGTTTGAGGGCACCTCCGTCTCTTATCTCTTGGTGGCGTGCATTCATCTTGGCAATTTGGGGACAACTTTTTATGAAGACTCAAGTTTTATTTGAGGAAAGTTTTATCATCTCTTTAAATATTTTTCCTTTATTACATTTGTCCCATTCTCTTCTTCAGAGGCTCTCAGTATACATACACGGTATGCAGGCGGGTAGGAATCCAGGTTTTATGGGGCCCAAAGCTTATAAAATCTGTTGGGGGGAGGGCTCAATAGGAAAAAGAATACATAATTGGGCTTGAAAGTGAACATTTATTTAGAATGAGAAAAATAACAAATTACAAATTAATAAAAAGCTGACGAATATGCAAACACACAAATCCAGAAAAAAAAACTAACATATCTTTGTAATAATTTTTTTCCTACTGTTTTTGGCTGCAAATGATTTGATCACTTCATCGTATGATGATTTCAAAATACTCTGATAGAAAGCTAATTCAATCTGTTCTCTAACAAGGCCACATTCTTTATCATAAAAAATTATTATTATTTTTTAAAGATTTTATTTATTTGACAGAGACACAGCGAGAGAGGGAATATAAGCAGGGGGAGGGGTAGAGAGAGAGGGAGAAGCAGACCTTCCGCTGAGCAGGGAGCCCAATGTGGGGCTCGATCCCAGGACCCTGGGATCATGACCTGAGCCAAAGGCAGATGCTGAACGACTGAGCCCCCCAGGCGCCCATAAAAAATATTATTGATAGTTTAGAAATGTTTCCATTTCAAAACTTATTTGTAATACCATGTACATTTTTAGTTTCCTCATCTGTCAAGTACGGATATTAATGGAACCCACCTCACAGGACTACTAAGTGACATATGTATAAGGCATCTCTGGAAGGGTGCCTGCACATAATGCTGTGTTAGCTATCTGATTTTTAATTTAATGGCCACATATTTTAGCAAATGGATAGACCATAGTTTATTTTGCCATTATCCTAGATGTTTTCCAGTTTTTCTATTATTCTAAGAAATGTATTGATAAACATCCTTGAAGCTGAATATTTGTTCACATGCAGAAGGACTGGATTTTATCAGGGACTGCGTTTCCAAAATTAGAACAATCATTAGAATTATTGGGAAGCTTTTAAAAGTATAGAATTCTTGGGCCCCACCCCAGACCTCTTAAAACCAAAGTAATAGTAGTTTTCCTTTAAGTGCTTATTATATGCCAACCACAGTGCCAGGAATTATACACATGATATTTCATGCATTCCTGAAACAGCCAAGAGACAGGTTACAATTTATGATTCTTTTCAGAAGAGATCATCTAAAAAGCCCCACCACCTGACATTAAGGACTTGGCCAAAGGCACAAAGAGATGGAACAGCTCTGGGCTGTTTAACCCTGGGCTACTTCAAAACCCCTGCAGCACTGGCTCAACAGGAGCATCAAACATGCACCATAGTTTACAGTCTGATGTCTGCTAAAAGCATGCTTTTTTAAAAAAAACATTATTTATTTTAGAGAGAATGAAAGAGAGAGAGAAAGCACGAGTGGAAGGGCAGAGGAAGAGGGAGAAAGATTCCCAAGCAGACTCTGCTGAGCATGGAGCCAGACGTGGGGCTTGATCTCAGGACCCTGAGATCACGACCTGAGCTAAAACCAAGAGTTGACCACTTAACTGACTGCGCCACCCAGGCGCCCCTAAAAGCATGCTTGCATTTATTTATTATTTATTTATTTATCTATCTATTTATTTATTTATTTATTTGATTTTATTTATTTGACAGAGACACAGCGAGAGAGGGAACACAAGCAGGGGGAGTGGGAGAGGGAGAAGCAGGCTTCCCGCCGAGCAGGGAGCCCGATGCGGGGCTCGATCCCAGGACCCTGGGATCATGACCTGAGCCAAAGGCAGATGCTTAACGACTGAGCCACACAGGCGCCCCTAAAAGCATGCTTTTATATAATTAAGAGATACTTCAAATTTTAGTTTCTGAAAAAATGTAGGAAACTGAGGAAAAAACCAGTAGTTTTTATGAAATTAGCTATCTTTAAATGATCTTTCTAAAAGTTTTATACCTTCTGAGCTTCTAACTGAATCTTTATTTTAGTCTTGTATATTAAAATGTGTTGATATGCCTTTTTAAAAAAGATTTTGTTTATTTATTTGAGAGAGAGAGCATGAGGTAGGAGAGCAGAGGGAGAGAAGCAGACTCAGCACTGAGCGGGCAGCCCAATGTGGGGCTCAAACCCGGGACTCTGAAATCATGACCTGAGCCAAAGTCAGACACCCAACTGATTGAACCACCCAGGCGCTTTTGTTGATATGTCTCTTAATTCTCTTTTAATCTCTAGGTTCTTCCTCCATTTCTTCTTTTCCCTTACAGTTTATCTATTAAAGAACCTAGGACTTTGACCTGTAAAGATTCCTATAACCCGGACCTTGCTGACTGCATATTCACAGGCAGTTCAACATGCTCTTCTGTCCTCTGGATTTTCTGCAAATTGGCAGCTGGGTACAGAACCTTGATTTCAGGTCATATTTTTTTGGCGGAGTGCTCTTCTATCAGGAGGCACACAGTTTATGATTATCTCTCCTTTGGTGAAATTATGTCATCTTTGCTTATCTGAAGTTCATTTGTCAGTAGCTTTCTCATTAAAGGCTCATAAAAACAATATTTTTTGCATCCTTACGTGTTGATAAGTTTGTGACTAGTTATAACAGTTGTGACTTTCTATTTGAAAGTCAGTTTTGCTGAATATAAAATCCTTGGCTCACATCTTCTCTCCTGAAACCAGGGGCACTTCTGGGTTTGCACTACGGATTTTTAAAATTTATTTTATTTTATTTATTTATTTAGTGTGTGTGTGTGTGTGTGTGTGTGTATTTTCTGGAGAAAGGAGAGATTCTTTTGGAGAGGAGAGTTTAAAAATACCGCTGGGGCACGTGGCTGGCTCAGTCAGTACAGCATGTGACTCGATCTCGGGGGGCTGTGAGTTCGAGCCCCACTTCATGTGTAGACATTACTTAAAATAAAATCTTAAAAAAAAAAAAATCCCTATCCACTATCTTAAACAGTCCACTGCCTTTAAAAGATGCCCATTTTTGTCAAAATGAAACATAATAATTTTATAATTCAGAACATTTCTAGCTAAAATATGTTATTTTGAAAACAGAAATTAGCTAGGAAGCAATTTTTGAAAAATAGAGGTTCATGAACCAGGATAAATGAAACCAAGTACGTGGATTTGGCTATATTTTGCATTTTTCTTGGAGAATTTTAGTTTCATTTTTTGGTGTTTTTCACTGGGCATCTTCCGACTTAGGGAGATATAATAAGATATATTAAGGACCATGTGTAGCATAGGATCAAACATGAAATCTTATTTTCTGAAATCAGTAATCTATATTCTAGCTATCCATCTATCTACAGTATCAAATTCCCAAGTTCTCTGCTTAATGCTCCCATCCAGAGATGTGCTGGTAAACTTGCTCTCCCAGAACAACAAAATGCCCTGATTTTGTAGCATTTGACCATTTCTGTGGTGTAAATATGCCATCATGGCTGATTTCAAGCTACTAGCAATTTAATAGTTGGCTTATATAATTCCTGACCATTTACTAATTAGTTCTCATGAACTGGTAGAAGCCAGCTATAGCCCACCCACTGGCCCCATCCCCTCCCAAAATAATTTGCTTTATATTTAAAATGTATGGAATTCTATGAATCTCAGTCCTTATGTCAAAGGCATCAGTTTTTCCACAATGCTGAATCTTGATTTGTTCATACATTCGGGTAGAGATAAAAAAATATATAAATTATCCTAATTTGTTCAGATAAAAATATTTGAAGTCATAAATACTTTTTTTAATGAATTAATTCCAGTCAGCAAATGGGGCAAATAATGGGACCTATGCTGTGCATATCCCACCAACGATCACATATATTTTTCTTAGTCATCAAAAACATTATAACCTTTGTTAACTTCCCTTTGGGGGCTATATCCTCCAGGAAATTATTCAAAAGGATGTTATAGCACTACGATGAGTGACAGTGAAAAACTGAGAAAAAATCCAAATGCTCAACAGCAGGAAAATGGTTACTCAATTTATGGCATATTAATATGATAACATATTAATAGCTATTAATATTACAAATACATGGAATATATAAATACATGTGTTGATTATGTCAGGATAAAAACTTATATGAAATAATGTTATTAGCAATATAATGCTAAATTTATGAGCACCTCCATTACAAATATGTGAAAAAAACTCCCAAACTCCCAGGAATAGACTAACTGTTCTAGAGCCTTAGAGCCAGTAAATGACTGAGCTAGTTTTTAACCACTTAATCAATCAATTTCAGTTCTAATTTCAGTTTCAGATAACAACTAAACACAGTTTAGAACTTGTTTTAAACCCATCTAACTAAGTACAACTCCAATCAACAGCCCACTGAACGTCAACCGATCAATGACAACCTCATACTTTAAAAGTCAGTTAAGTAGTGCAAGACTCACTCCAGAAAATTCACTAAGGTTGATGTCAACCCATTTCTCACCTCTATAGCCAGCAAAAAACATACTTCTGGGGGCGCCTGGGTGGCTCAGTTGGTTAAGCGACTGCCTTCGGCTCAGGTCATGATCCTGGAGACCCGGAATCGAGTCCCGCATCGGGCTCCCTGCTTGGCAGGGAGTCTGCTTCTCCCTCTGACCCTCCCCCCCTCATGCTCTCTCTCTCAAATAAATAAATA